GGGCTTGGATTAGTCGAATTTGTGTTTCCCTACACTTGCTTGCCATGAAAGATTGTTGAGTTTTCTATTTCGATTGAGCCTAGTATAGAGGATTCACTTGGTATGCCCCTAGGCAAAGCTACCTCAAAAATAAAGGTTCTAGACATGATAAGTATGGTTATATATTTATTTAACTATAACTCGGGGTACCATAGTAGAATAATCGACTATTAAATTAGTCTTTGTGATTAATGAATTTTAAATATATTTTAGAAGACTTATCGAGTATCCTGCTTATTGAGGAAATAGAATTGGATACTAATATATTTTTAGAACCTTAGTATACTCTTGTTCTCTATTATAGAATGGCTTTGTGGAGTCAAAGGGACTAAAAAAAAACTGCAAGGTTTCGGAATCTAGAGATCACTAGACCAAATATACCATTTGAGGTGCTTAAGTTGTGTTCGTTGAGAAGAACAATGAATTTATGCATATGATTATTGATAATAGATAAATGAGTAGAGTGCCAATAAAAAAAACAAGAACTTTTGTTATACTCAGATAATTTATATCTCCACTTATAGGGTGTTACCTTATATTTTAAGATAAGACTTGTGATCGGGACATCTTGAGTGAAAAATAGTGTTTGATATTTTAAATACATATTCCTAAACCTGTTATGGTTAGTAATTGTGATGGACTAGATAAACTAGGTATTCAAACTGTTCCTTAGCATTCTTTTTATTATATTCATTAATGACACATGTGAATATTTTCGTAGCGGATAAGACCATGTGCAATAATTAAGGAGGGTCCTATGGGCATTGAGATAATATCGACTAAAACTGGGGCTATAGTTGTAAATTTTAATTCTTATATTATGATATTTGGGCCTTATGATGTCTCATAAAAGGGTGATAGATCGATGTATTATGCTTGCTAAGGCTAAACATGTGATATCATAATTGTCTTGGTTTGAGCAAGCAAAGTTTATCCGTATAAGAGTCCTGACCTTGTTGGAGGGGTTAGTCATCAGCTCTTAAAGGCAGAACCTACATGAAAGTGAATAACCATAGAACACTATAGCTAAAGAGTTGAATGTGTATACAATCGTGGGGGGAAATTGAGGAGATTAGTACTCCTTGAGATGCAATGTTTATTAAATTTAGTAACTCCAAGATCCACAAATATAGCTTGGAATTAGAGGATGAGAGCAAACAATGACAATGGGTAATACGAGATATAAAAAATATTGTTATTTATTATTTGAATTGTTCGTGTATTAAATACAAATGTTAGAGACTCAAGAAATTACCGTAAAGATGGTTAACTCTGAAAGAAAGTGAAAATATATCATTGTAGACTTCGTGGTTAGTCTATCATATTAGTTGAGAAAGTTATGATCCTAGTTGCACTGATTGTGATAGGCTCATCGAGCACGCCTAAATTCAGTCTAAATTACTTATAAATCATATTATCCTATAAAGTGATATGTTAGAGATATTATGCAATATCACGAGATGCTCGTATCGTCAACTGTGACAAGATTAACATTGCATGAAATATTTACATAAAGGTGTCTGGATGTGTTCCATCACTAGCGTATGCAAGAGTATTATATAGGAGTGTTTGGATGTGTTCTAACACTACCATATATAATATTTGTGGATGTGCTCCACTGTAGGACTATGGTTATGACGCTTTGATACGCTCTATCACAATCGAGGCGTAACAAAATAGGGGTTCAATCCCAATACCAAGGAAATAGATATTACATGTTGAGTTGTACATGATCAGTTGCTTTTGACCGAGTTAGTGCATGATAGTAGTTTTACTAACTCATATGCATATCTTATCATTTTAGGCTTTATATGAATGTTAGTGTCTTGCTCTGTCTAGTTAGTTGAAACGGTAAGTCACAGTTATTTGATTAAATTTGGTTTGGCAAGACTTGGATAATGTTGCACCCAATACCGAGGTGGTTTCGCAAATTATAGAGTAAACAAAACTCACAAACAATATTGGGATTTGGAGTTCATGAAAGGTGAAACGGTCTTAGAAGATTTCTCCATGAAAGGAGTTATGAAATTTTGAATGAGATTGGGTTAGTGGCATATAGACTTGCCTTGCCTTCAGGACTTTTAGTTGTACATCTTGTGTTTATGATGAGAGTCATATAAAATTCAGTCCAAGGAAAGGGAACTAGATGAAAAATTTGAATAACGAAGGAGGTCCCGTAGTTATTTTTGATAGGCGAGCGCGATAATTGAGCTCGAATAAGGTTGCTTAAGTGAGAGTGCTATAGCGAACCCATCCAACTGAGAAAGCTACGTTGGAGTCGGGGATAGAAATGTAGATCAAGTACCTACAGTTGCTTGAGATGTCATGTATACTTTCTAATTCGTTCGAGGACGAATGCTTGTTTAAGTGGGGAAGAATGTAATAACCGAAATATTTTCGTATACTTATTAATTGTAGGATTGAAGAAAAATTTTATTTATAACTATTTGGAGCAAATACTAAGATAGTGGAATAGTTTATTAGATAAGTGGCTAGTGGGCTAATTACATATTATAATTTAAAAGTAAAAATAAGTGACTTTAGTTAGTATTTAAAAAGTTAATGAGTGGGTCAACCCCACCACTTACTAGCTGGTCACATGAGATGGCCTAGGTTTAAAGATTATGTAGTTTAGTAGGAAAAGAAGTAATTGAGGTTTTTTTTTTTTTAAAAAACGAATTAAATATGGCTTCGGGATAGGGAAGAAGTTGGCGGCATGAATAAGGGTTAGAGGGGCATCGAAGTTTTCTTTGATAATCACTGGAATACATAAATTTAGAGCAAAGGAGTGGTGTGCTAATTCGTTGGGCGAGACTAAGGGAAAAGCTTCAGGTATATTAAATATCTTTTTATGCATTATGATTGTGGTATGTCAACCATTGAAGCTTGCACTATATATTATAGGGATTAATTACTTTGCCATGATTTCGTAAACATAGTAATTAAGTCAATGATGGGGAGCAATGGCCCATATGATTGGCTTTTAGGGTTAGACTTGCAAATTGCAATTCCAATGTGATAGCTACTGCTAAGGCCCCATATTAACGTTGATTACACCAAATTGTTACGAATATTTATTCTTAATTATAGAAAGATATTGACTGTCACTCTATGGCCATCACCAGTGAAATCCGAGTACTAATTCATAGAAGTGAGATTAAATATTGAGTTTAGATTGAAGGTATTGCTTTATAAGAATCATAATTGAATATTGTGTTTGAGAGTGAGATTTTGGGATATATCTCTTTATTGAGGTATAAGATATTAAGATTTAGCTTTAAGCTTGAGAGTTAGGGAGATTTAAATTTGATCCCTACTAGCATAATTAATATTGTTAATTAATATTTTGGATAGATTAAGGTCATTGGAGGTCGTTTGGTTGGTGTTCTTGACGTTGCAAAGTTGGAGAACTTCCCATTAACGAGGTAAGTGAGACTTTAAGCTTTGATGCTTGTTTTTCTAAAACCCGCTTTGAAAATGTGTTTTCTCTGCCTGGTCCATGTGTTGGGACAAGCGTGCGCTTGGCAGAATCGGTGGTCTTAGACTAGCCGCAAATATATTATTTTATGAAAAATAAAAAAATAATAATTATTTTATAAGTTGTTTGATGGCGGGATACGGTTGTAAGCCATGACGTTGAGTTTGATACTTTAATATGGCTGTGAGCCATGATGTTGAGTTTGATACTTTGATACGGGTGTGAGCCATGGTGTTGAGATTGATATAGCTAAGTGCCATGATGTTGGGGCATTATGTATGCCCGTGTACATCACCCGAGTATTGTGTATGCTTCTTGATATATTCGGGGCATTGTGTATGCTTCAGTGAGCATTGTATATGCTGTAACATATTTGAGGCATTGTGGTGCCGCTGTGGACTCGTAAAGGTGTTGGTTAATTTCATTCACTACAATCATGACAAGTCCTTAACGTGTACGGTGTTAAGATATATGTACCCTTGTTGTTTAATTCTTATTAACTCTGTTGATACATATATATTGAGTTATTGTATAATTATCGTATTTATTATATCGTTCTTATTTGTGGTGTGTTTGTATTTTCTAACACTTGTTCAAGAGGTATTCGAAGTGGCGGGTCGAGGATCTTACTGGGTTATATTTATGTATAACTCACTCTTATCTGCATCTCTATGCAGATACTATTGCTGACGATAGAGCTAGTGGCTGAAGAGTTCGTTCGGGCCGATTCTGTTGCTGAGGTGAGCCATCGCATTGTTCGTGGAAGCTGTCACTACAACCTTATCTAGTTTGTGTTAGTTATTTCCTTCTCTTTAGGGTTTGCATACCCGTCATTTAAACTCATGTCACTCTGTTAGATGCTCCAAGATCTTAGTGTGTGATTTGAGTTAGAGTATTATTATTTGAGGAGAAGTTTTATTGTGTGCCTCACACAACTTACATTAGTTGTGTGAGGCTCCTTTTTCTCTCACAAATTTATGGACCCCAAATCTTACACTTGTGGGTCCACAAAATCTGGGTCCACAAAACCGTGAGACAAAAAAGATGCCTCATACAACTAGTGTCAGTTGTATGAGACACAATAAAATTTTCCTTATTTGAGTGAGTGCTGGTCTTTCTATCAATTGACTAAGCTATTGGTTGGTAACTATCTCCTTTTTAATTATTAATAATTCTCTTAGACCTGCACTTATTGTTCTCTCAGTATGTGTGTAAATGGTTAAACATATGAGAAATGGGTTCACCTGGCAGGTGGTGTTAGCTGTGTGCCAGTCACGTCTAGGGGCAGTTTGGGACGTGACATTCTCACCTCCCTTCAGAATTGGAGAGTGTAATTATACCCTCTAATTATGCTCAATTCCATGCTGACCAAATGATCTTTTGACTAAAAAACATATCAAATTATGTAATTATATTCAATTACACCCAAATCCATTTCTAAGGTGGCTTTCCAAAAAAAATAACACCCAAATCTATTTTCAAGTTGGCTTTCCAAAGAAAGAATGCTAGTATGTATTTGGCCTATGGTAAAAGAAAAAGTTGAAACCCAACGTTGAGATCCAAACGGAAACCTGCCATCACACGGCGAACTTTGCCTTCCTCCACCGCTACAGTCTTCTAATTCAATTGGGTTAAAGAATTAAGTATTAGTCATTTTTTTTAACTTTTTATTCAGCGAATCTACTGTAGAAATAACTGAAAAGATTATTCTTTGATCAGAATTTCTATTCAGAAGAACAAATACGCGATAAAGAAAGGTTCTTGTTTGATCAGAATATCTATTCAGCTTCGTCAATTCTTGCAGCCTTTTGATTTGAAGGGGTTTTCACGAAAGAAAAAAAATGGAGAAAGTAATGAATATATTGAAGCCAAAACCGAACCCTCAACAGCTTTTAAGGGATTGGCAACGTAGGCTCCGACAAGAATGTCGGAATATTGAACGTCAAATCCGAGGTAAAAGCTTGTTTTTTTTCCTCTCATTCAGCTTAATTTTTCATAGTCAAGAAGGAAAAGGGGTTTTTTTTCTGTGTTTTTTTGGGTGATCGTAAAGTTCGATTTTTTATCTTCGGTTTGTGGATTTTTGGGACTTTTGATCAGATATACAAAGAGAGGAGAAGAATGTGCAGAAAGCAATTAAAGAAGCTGCAAAGAGAAATGATATGGGTTCTGCTAAGGTGATTTACTGCTCTCACTTGAACTCACTAATTTAAAGAAAAAAACATTTTCACATAATTCTTTCCTGGTTATGACTGCTATTTTTTCTGAGCTGAATGCTTATATAATGACTATAGAATGATAGACTGAGAAATAGTTGAAATTAAGCTCTTTAAATATTGTAATTTTAGAACCTTACTTTATCCACACACACACAAAAAAGTTGATACTTTGGAAAATATGGTGGAAATTGTTAACTTTGAAATTTTGTTATTCTCTTAATTGCTTGTTCATATTTTTAGTTTTTAGGTTTCAATCTTAGGCGTTTGCTAAAGGACGCGTGAGATCCATCAAAAGTGTATAATTGCTTGTTTCCCCCCGTCGTGCTAATAATCTAGGTCTCTATAAACATTGGTAAACTGAGAAGTAGTAAATAGATTTAACTAGATGTTTGAAAATTTGTTATTTCAGATCAGGAGATGAAAGAGTAATTCTTCTTATCCAATACTTTTAAATGTTGGCGAAATGAGAAAGAGAAGAAGGATGAGTGAGCTGCTTTTAGAAGATGTTCTTCATCTATGTCAATGTACTTGATCATTGAGTTGTTTTGCATAAAAAGCTTGGCGTAGAAGTGCATCTCTAAAATTTTGTTCTGACTTCTGGGTCATCAAAAGAGTTCCAGGCGGTTGAGAAATGCTTTGTCCTATGTCATTTAGGAGGTTTCTTAGGCAGCTGATGTGACAAACCACTATGCTTTTTTCCAGACTTTTAGGATAGCCTATTTAAGTAGTTGGTTTATTGCTCATCCAAGATTTCTTTTTCTTTTTACGGTAAGAGCATATGTTGAATTCAGACTGATATTGTAGATGGTTATGAGGCATATTTTTGTTGTTTTTTTGTATCCTATTGCTTATTCATATCGGACTGTTGATGTATTTACCGCAGTCACTTGCGAAAGAGATTGTGAGATCTAAAAGAACTGTGAACCGATTGTACGAGAATAAGGCACAGTTGAATTCAATATCCATGCACCTTGGAGAAAGTGTCGGTATGATCATAGTCTTGCTTCACTTTTTGTATGTATGCCTATCCTCCTTTTATATTCAGGATTGTGCATTTGGTCCTCTAAGTTCTTCTGACGAGCAAGCTGTCAGGAGAACAGTATGCATCCATTGAGAACATAGCCTAATAAAGATTGCTAAAGTCACTATAGAAATAACAAAAAATACATGCATTATGCCTCTTATTATATATTGAAAAAAAGACGGAGCATCCATCGAGATCATAGCATATAATATATGGAGTTTGAAGATGCATAATATGTAATTTTGTTATTTATATAGATGTTGAAAATGCAGAAGCACGATTGTATATTTTTTTATACTTTTGATTTCTAAAATAAAAGGTGAATATTTTCATTTTACACTGGACGACTGGGAACAATTTTGGCAAAACTGAATATAGAAATCTGCATTTCCTATTGATTTTATGAAATAGAGGGAGCAGCTAAGAAAGACACAGACTGGATAAATTAAACGGAAAAGGGCCATATTTGCCTCTCTACTATAAAAAATAAGTTATATCTACCTTCCGTTTCAGTTTCTTAGTATAATTACCGTACCGTCAGACTTTTGGACCATATTTTCCCCTCACATGTTAAATGTCTTGGTCTCATATTCAAAAGGACACGTAGCTGGCCCTGATTGAATAAAAAAGACCTGTTGCATTTCTAATTAAAACCCACCAGACTCTGTACAAATAATCCACCCATTCCAAAACGAGAAAAAAAGGAAATTGAACTCATTCCACCCATTTCCTTCCCGTTCTCATTCCCCTCTTTCATCCTTTCACTAGCCAGTAGCCAAGTGCTCCAAATTCTAATTTGTTACACTGGTGCACTTCTTCTCTAGCAGTTTACTGTTGAAATTGCTTTTTTGGAGGATTGCATGTCAAACTCGGCTTTCAACTTATAAGTTTGTCTTTTTTCATTTTCCCTGCTATAGCCTTTTTGAGGATCACATATTAAACTCTGTTTCTTGTTGATATACTCTAAAAGAGAATATGAAATAAGAATCTTATAAGTTCATGTCTTTGTTTCTTTACCCTGCTATATATTATCAGTTGCATTTACTTTGTTACTTACATCTGCATAGAACATTATATGAAGCTCTCATATCTATTTGACTCCTCTGGTGCTATCAGTATCAATCTGTCCTTGCGAATACACTCATAGGTGCACTACAGGATTATCTTTTAAGGAGTTTGGACTTATTATGGCGTAGAAGCAGGATTTTGGCTGATTAGAAGATGTTTAGGCCAGTTTTCCACTTCATACTTAATCTAAGATAAAGCTATCGTGGCATTCTCATATCCTCATTTGCTAGAGACCTAATTTTCACAAAGAAATCATCAGAAGATTTGTCTAGCTAGAAAGATTAGCATGGTAATAGTATAAAACTATTCATACTACACTGATTGTTTATTTTCTTCAAGACTTAGTTCAATGACTCACAAAGCCTGTTCAAAAGGGATTAATATTTGGTTGATAAGAATTCATAGCAAAATTTGGATTCAACAGTAGGATCCAGTTACTGAAACTGGGAATGCTAAGCTCCAGTTTATGCTTTACATTTTATAAACGGGTGTTTATGCTTAGAGGGAAAGAGGGGAATGAGAACCGGAAGGAGATGTGGTGGGTTATTATAGTATGGATCAGGTGGGTTGTAATTAGAGATATCGGGGCCAGCCACGCGTCTTTTTTAAGATGGGACCAAACCATTTAACGGTGGAGAGCGAATACGACCCAAAAGTATGACGGTAGGGGTAGTTATACAAAGAAACTAAAACGCAGGGTGGATATAGCTTATTTTCAATAGTAGAGGGCCAAATATGACCCTTTTACGTAAAATAAAATAACTGGATATATTATTTTGACAAAACCGATAATTGTATTATGTTATATATTATATATCCAGGTTGTTAGCAACAGCTAGGAAAGTAGCACCTATTAGAATCTCTGTAGCTAGACAACCATATACTGTTGCTGGTTAGACAACAAATTGAAGCCAACCCTCTTGATTTATACGTAGTGTTAGTTTATTTGCTGGCTTCTTCCAGTGTCTTATTGACTTGTAATTGGTTTTGCAGCCATTGCTCGAACTGTCGGACATTTGTCTAAAAGTGCTGAAGTCATGAAGCTCGTCAATAATCTTATGAAGGCTCCAGAAGTGGCTATGACAATGCAGGAGTTTAGTAAAGAAATGACCAAGGTATATATCTATTTGGCTTTATCATTTTGAGCTTCAATGATATTCTTGATCTTTTCTCCTGGTTGGGAATCACCTTTAATCCAGTTTGATTCCAATTCTAAAATATTGCTGTGTGCTAGATAACATAGCAGAATCATTGTTTCTCTGTTTGCTATTGGCTGTTTTTTTGGAGTGTTCATACTCTCCAAATGTCATTACTATTTGGAGAGTCAAACAATCTTTTTTTACAATTATTTTAAACATATCTTAAATGTTTTTAATTAATTAAAGAATTACGACTTATAGTACTTGTTGATGTAGTTATTATTAGATATGAAAATATTAATTTTTTTGTTAACTAAGAAATTCCGGAGGACTAGAGGTGCACGGTTCAAAACTCGGTTGATCATGGGCTTGCCCCTATGCCCTTCTAAATATGAAAATATTACTTTAAAAATGGAATAAATAGTTCCAATTGAGAGCGTAAATGAGAAGGCCGGAGACCTTCGTTTTCAGCCTCTTCATTCTGTTTGAAATGGATGGAGTATATGTATGTTGTGTGTATAAAAAAAAAAAAAATTAACTAAAAGTCTTTGAACCAAAACAAGTATAATTAAGTTCCTTTTAAGCACCTAATATTAATTCCATAAGTATATCTTGTACAATAGCAAAGTTTTCGAACACTATATATGTATGGATGGAGATAATTATTAAAACTGAAAATCAAAACTAAAAAACCCAGCGTGAGCATGGAGTCAGACAAATTATGTACGTTATTCCTTTCCCACACCTAGATCGTGTGAGATCGATGCGGATGCAGCTGGCTTTTGGTGGTTCCATTTAACATGGTATATGACTATGAATTCCTTCATAATTCACAGAGCATGTGCGCTTACTCTTTAGGAGTTCCATGGAGAAACTAGGTGTTTCTTGTGTGACTAGATTGGCTTCTTCTACAAACCTACTCCACCCTCTAGGTCGGGGGGCGGCTGAGAGACAAGTTATTTGTGGATTGGGATATTGTATGAATTATTGTTAACATGAATGAGAATACTCTCCGAACAGTTAGACGAGCTTGTTGATATTACGTGTAGGCCTTTCCGGCCATTTCGGGTTATTTAAGATCTCAGATGCAAGAGTATCCAATAGTTCGTTCCATAAATATGTTGAAGATAGTCAGTTCTACCCCTGTAAATACTGAATTTATACTAAAATCTTCTTTGTGCTGAATAAAACATTAGAGGGCAAGTAGAAGATCATAGAAGTTGCCAAAGCATGACTCTTATTTTTCTTTCAGTGATTGGTTGTATGCCAAATTGAATGCAACTCACGCTCACACGTTGCACAGTTGTCTGTGGAAGAAAAACGAAAGCTGATCTCAATATGATAGACTGTCCTATTGCCTGCCTCCCCCGCATGAAGCTTCTCTCTCTCTCTCTCTCTCACACACACACACTTTCTTTTTAACTGGAAATTACCCGATCTCTTGGTATTGCAGGCTGGCGTGATGGAGGAAATGGTAAATGATGCAGTGGACAGTGCACTGGATTCAGAAGACATAGAAGACGAGATTGAAGAAGAAGTTGACAAGGTTTTGACTGCAATTGCTGGTGAGACTACTGCACAACTTCCTGAAGCAGTCCGAAAGGAGAAGTTAAAGCAACCCGCGCAGGCAGTGGAGGATGCAGAGGTACGTCTTCTCATCTTGTGACGTATTACATAGCATAGATCTTCTCTATGATCGACCAAACTAAATTGATTGACCATTGATTTGTTATTTCTTCTCTTGCAGGGTGCTGATGAAGAGGAAGATTTAGAAGAACTAAGGGCGCGCCTTGCTAAAGTTAGATCCTAATAAATTGACTTCAACTGCCTAAGGTTTCAATGTAAAATAAGTTTGTATGTGAAGCACAGACCTTTTCTATCTGGGAGAGAGGATAGTTGAGTACCTTGTGTATCTTAGAATCAGTTAACTCATGATTTCTTGTGTTAATTATCCAATGTGAGTTCCTATCTTTTTCTCTTGTATGGAAAATGAAATACTATGTTAACAACATTTCCTGCTATTTAGTGGAATTGGTTGTCCAATATGTATTTACGTCGGATGCTCTCTCTTCTCTTAAATTGTAATCTTAACGCACTTCTATTTTTTTGCGAAATAGTTACTCTATTAGAATCGCAAATTTTCTGATGTTTCAAATTTTGCATAACTATTCATATTATGCTTCGGTAGTTTCCATATTACTACAATAACATTTATAATGGACCATAACATTAAGTCTCCCGAATATTTTATAAATTATACGCTACAACTATTAAAATCATGTGATATTGTAAAAGCTCTTTATAAACTTAAATCCTTTTCTTATATGCACTACTTTTCTTTTAGTCAAAACTTTGATTTATTAGTCAAATATTATTAATATTAGTCAATTAGCTATTTGTAGCAAAAAAAATATCAAATTTTTGGTTTCTTTTGGATGGGTGTATTAGAATAGATTGGGTACATCTTAAGGAGCTTGAATTTCAGTTTTGGGATGATTTGGTAGAGTTTTGAGGTGGTTTGAATTGAAAATTCGAAGTAAAAATGAACATGAAAAAATGATATGTGTATCACACTGTGTATCTTTGTGTATCACATATGTATCAAATATGTATCACATGTATATCTATGTATACATGTATACATGGTGTTGGTGTTGTTGTTGTTGTTGTGTATCACATGTATATCCATGTATACCTGTGTGTAAGATACATGTGTCGCAAGAAATTTTTGAACTCGATTTTAACTACAAATTTTGATACAAAATCAGTCCAAATCACCTCCAATCTTCCTCAAAATTTGTATATTGACTCATCTATATGTTTTCAAATGAATTTTAATCATACCCATTGAAAAATGTCATTTTTGCTTAGATTTTGAAATCTTATATATATATTTTTTGATAAGTTGGAACTTATTTGAGACATTTATATAAGATTCACATAGGTACATAGCTTACTTACCTTTTTTTCATGTTTATCACTCCCGTACGCCGTAAACAGTAACATGCTGGCTTTTAAGTAAAATAATTGTGTAAAAATTGTCGGTCGATAATTAAATCCAAATTTTAAAAGTAGTTGATATAAGACAGGATCACATATTTTTTCTAAGAGAAAATAAAATTTCCTAAAAATATGTATATGAATTTTCTTTTCGTCTTCGTAACCACTTAACAAACAAAAGGATCATATCGTCTTCTAAATGTGCAGATCGTCCTCCTAAATTATGGCTTAAAAGGAATTTTTACCTCCTATAGCGAAGGTTAACACCTTATTTATTTTAAATAAATACCATTTAAAAAAATTATATTCTATAGATATATTTTAAGGTTTATAGCAAAATATTTAATTTTGGTTACCTCCTAGCCCTAAGCCACTAAATACGCTATTCAGTTACACTATTTTCTTTCTCTCTCTACTTTGATATATCCCATTCTCTTCCCCATCCCATTAAAATTTCCGCTCTCCTCCTCCTTCTAGCGGTATCTTCTCAACTGAAAAAATCCAACAACTTGAGTGACAACGGTGTGTGGAATCCATCCACTAAAATGTTCCGAAAACTGCCGGTTTGTCACTAACCCTCCACAGAATCATGGACCGAGAGAGGTTGCAGGGTTGAGCCAAATTTGTGGTGGTTTTGGGTATGATACTTCTGCTAATGATTATAGGGTCGTTAAAATAGCCCAATTTTATCACTTCTCTGGTAGTTCCTTAGTTACTGTTACAATGGTTTATAGTTTGAAGTTGGGTTTGTGGAAGAAGAAGGTTCAGGATTGTCCATACTGGTTGGTTAAGGAAGACAACGGCACGTTTGCAAGTTGAGAGGTTGTTCATTATCGATATCAGAAAGCAATTTCCACAGATCTTTGAGCAAATTCCTATTTGTCTACCGAAGAAGAAGCCGTCCGACACTCGCCGACTATCGGAAGAAGCTCTATTTGGCTACAAGGCGGAAATTAGGGTTTGTTCTTGAGCAAAGACGACGGAGTTTGGGGCTGAGCAACTTGATTTTCTGTTAATATATTTCAATGTATTTTCAACATATCACATTGTTTTTTCATGTATTTCATTGTATTCATTGTCTTTTTTTCCATTATAATTCAATGTATCTCGCTGTATTCCGTGTATTTTGTTGTATTCACTATCTTTTTTTTCATTGTTTTTCAATGTATCCCGTTGTATTCTATGTATTTCATTGTATTCACTGTCTCGCTATATGCCATGAATGTATTCATATGTGTTTTTAATTAATATAATTTATGTATTCAGATGTATTATATAATTTCTCTGAAGATTGCTATGTTTTTGGTGTATTTTTCAGTTGAGAATCTTTTTTATAATCGGAAATACAAATTTTGTGTGTTATAATTGAGTTTGTTGAGTCATATTAGGAGTCTATTATGTTAATTGATACACTTTCTGTTTAAAAACAGTGTAATCCCCTGTTTCACGCCGTGAATACAGTCGAATACAGTAATCTGTTGTAACGACCCCACCAGTCGTTTTGGGAAATTAAGCTCCGTTCAGCGGCATAAGGTCTGGAACAGCTTCGGAACATGAGTATCGACTTGCGTGCATGGTGGAATTCGGTTTTCGGATGGTTTAGAGTCAAATTGGAAGAAGAAAATCTAGTTTTGGAAGTTTGGACGGTGAAAAGTTGACCGGAATTGGACTTTTGAGTAAACGACCCCGGAATGGGTCGTGGATGATCTCAACAGCTTCGTATGGTGATTTTGGACTTAGGCGCGCGTCCGGATTCAGATTTGGAGGTCCGTGGAGTGAATTGAGGCATTTCGGCGGAAATTGAAGTTGGAAAATGAAGAAGTTTGACCCACAGTTGACTTTTGTGATATTGGGGTCGGAATGCGATTCCGAGAGTTGGAGCGGCTCTGTTATGTTATTTTGGACTTGTTTGCAAAATTTGGCGTCATTCCGAGTTGAATTGATAGGTTTCGGCATGAGATTCGATATTTGAAGATTTGGATGTTCATAAGCTTGATTTTTGGTTTGATCCGTCGTTTCGATGTTGTTTTATGTGATTTGAAACTTCGAGCGAGTCCGTGTTAGGTTATATGACTTGTGTGTGTGATTAAACGGGGTCCCAGGAGCCTCGGGTGTGTTTCGGATGGGCTACGGATCATTTTTCCTCCTATTGGAACTGCTGTTGTTGCTGCTTCTGATATCCTTCTTCGCGATCGCGAAGATTCTCCCGCGATCGCGATGCCTTGTTGAAGACCACTCCAAAAATCCTTCATCGCGTTCGCATTTAACCTTCCGCGATCGCGAAGGTCTATTTTTCTTTACTTCGCGATCGCGTCTGTAGTCCCGCGTTCGCATAGTGGGAATTAGGAGTTGGGGCAGTTGACCACGTTTCCTCTTCGCGTTCGCATGAGCCCCTCCGCGATCGCGTAAGTCCCTACCCACTGTTCTTCGCGTTCGCATCCTTATTCACGCGATCGCGATGTGCAATCTGGGCAGCCTCGAAATTTCTTCTACGCGATCGCGACCCTTCTCCCGCGATCGCGATGCACAAATACCTGGGCAGGCAGAATATATCCCAAATTCGAGGGTTTCACCATTTTTATCACATTTTGACTTCTAGAGCTCGGTTCTTGGCGATTTTTGAAGGGATTTTCACCTGGGCGTCTTGGGTAAGTGCTTCTCACTCGATTTAGACCAACTTCCATGAATCTCCTCTTAATTTCATCCTTTAATTTCAGATTTTGAATGAAAAATGGGTAAAAACTTCATAGACCAATTTATTGAGTTTTGAGGGGGTGTTTGACCTCCGATTTGAGAGATTTTTATATGGTTAGATTCGTGAGAGTACGAGGGTTCTGAAAGTGTTGAATTCATCGGATTCAAAGACGCTGGCCTGAGGGGCGTTTTGGTCATTTTGCCTAATTTCGCGTTTTAGCTTTGAATTAAATAGTAGAATCAGTTTCTTGAGATGTTATTTACAATGTGTGATTGAATTGAATAGATTTGGGCCATTTGGAGTCGAGTACTCGTGGCAAGAACGTGGTTGCTAGTTGATTTTAGCCGGCTCGAGGTAAGTATCTTGCCTAACCTTGTGTGGGGGACTTCCCCTTAGGATTTGAGTCTTCTCTGTTGATTGTATTCCTTGTACGCGAGGTGACGAGTGCGTGCTCGAAATTATTTGTGGAAAATTGCCCTTTTTTGGCTCTTAGATCCTTGTAATCACCGAATATGAAGTTGTTCTTGATACGATTGAGTTCCCTGTTAGTTGTTTCACCTCTACATGACTTACTTGGAATTTATCCGCCCTTTTTGGTTATTCTTGTTGCCTAATTGACTTTTACTTGTTTAACTGTAGACATTTACCCTTCTATAGTCACATTATCATTCCTAACCTCTTGTCATTACCCGGAGAGCATTACTTCTATCTCTCGTGTAATTAATTGGTCTTAATTGGAAAGAAGTTAGATATCCTATGTTTAGTTGATATTTCCTTAATTGTAATTATTTGATTCATGTTAACTTCCTTGTTGTTGAACTGAGTATTTTGGAATCGTTGTTTCGTATTATTTCTCCTTGTTGAGTTGTTCTTATTGCGCTTAGTATTTCTCTGTTACGGTTATTCCTTATGAGTTAGTTGTGATTCTCTTGCTTTGTTCCTGTATATATTGTCAATTGTTTTGTGGTACTTGAGACTGTGATGCACGAGGTTTCTGTCGTGCGGTTGTTGATACTGTGATGCACGAGGTTTCTGCCGTGTGGTTGTTGATATTGTGATGCACGAGGTTTCTGCCGTGCGGTTGTTGATACTGTGATGCACGAGATTTCTGTCGTGCGGTTGTTGTTGAAGGGTTGCACGAGGTCTTTGCCGTGCTATTGTTGCTATCGATGTTTTGCACATGCGGCGTAATAAAGCGGGATATGTTATATGCTTATATGTGGGTTGCGCATGTGGCGGAATAAGGTGGGAACATTATGATGCACGTGTGGCGAAATAAGGCGGCGCTTATTATGTTATTAATTGCACACGTGGCGAAATAAGGTGGGCTATGCCAGGGGTTGATTGTAAAGAATTGT